AAAAGGGCGGGGGTGAGAGAGAGAGGAGAGAAGGACAGACAGACAGAAGTCTCTGTCCTTATGGAACTTATAAGAACTTCATTACAGAGAAGGAATCTAGCCTTCTAAAACCACATGGCGTGCATATTTGCAATAATCTGCCAGTTTGAATTGAACTGCATTTCCTTCATTGCACGATGGGTTTCCTCCTGGGTCTTAAAAATAACTGTCGTGTAAGAGTAACCAGGTTTTCCTTGGACAGATGTGTTGGTGTCAAAGCTCATGTGAACCTGCTGCTGACTGAAGATCTTTTTTGACCCTAATGTTTTAGGGTCCTCCCACCATGTCTTTCTAGAAGGGGATACGCAGCCCCAAGAGCGACTGATCAGCCAGTCCTTAGGGGAAAGCACCCCGCTCGCTCGAGGTCGAGTGAGCACGCTAGGGTCAGAACCCTGTGTTCTGCCCACCACCTTGCCCCCGGAGGGTCGGCGCCACCTTCTCCGCTTCTGACCAGGTCGCTGTTCAGTGTCCAGCCCGGCATTCATGTCCTGCCTCCGGGTGTTGGTGTGGTGTTGTACCTTCCTGAGCACTCCACGCTTTCACTCATTATGACACCATGACTTTTGGTCCTCTCTTTGTGACACTTGAACCTCTCCCACATCCTCTCTTACTTGCATCTATCTCCACTGTGCTGGTGGTATTCTCTAGTTTCTGCCAATTAGCTCTCATTGACGATTAAATTTGGCTGTGTTATGTCCTTCCATCTGTTTGTGGCATATTCATATATATATATATTTTTAAGTATATAAAGTTCTTTATAAGAAATTATGTGGAATTAAATGTCTATTTGCTTTAAAAAGTATAAGAAATTTAAAGAAACACATTTTATAGGTGCTTAGGAAAAGCTTAGTGTTAAAGGTCTTTAGTGAAAAGAAAGTATGTTTCAATGCCAGCAAATGGAGGTCAGCTTACTCATGCACGGTGGTAACATATCTGCCTGCTTCTAACATTTTTATTTGTAATTTCATAACATGTGCCCAAGGTTATTTATTTTTAAATATCTTTCAAGATTTTCCTATTTTAAAATAAAGTAAATGCTGATTTATAAAATGTCTGCAACTATAACTATTTTTACCACTTATAAATAATTCTCGGTAAAAATGTTGATTAAATAGTAGCAGTTTAGGTAACAGCCTTTCTTAACTAATCTACCCATGCTGTGAAGATTCAGAGGCTGGGATTAGATATATTTGGCTCAGCACCACCGAAAATTGATAGCCTAACAGAAAGGCACAGTTTCTTGGAAAGTTCATGAAAAGAAGTGAGTCCAATACTGCTCAGGTCGGGAATTTATTATGCAGAACTGTGTGACACACTGCCCTTCCACTTTAGCCCCTTTCTGTAATACTTTTACACATATCACACAAAGTATTGGAGTTTCCTTCCAAAGGCCTCGTTAGGGGTTTTATGCTGTGTTGATAGTGACAGGAAGAAGGAAAAGGTTTTTGTCAAGCTTTCTTGGGATTTTATCGTTTCATTTCCCCCCTTTGTGGTTTGTCCACAGGACACACAGACAAGGAAGTCCATCCCACTCTCCTCCCGCGGACACTTCCTTCAGCAGCCGGAGGGGCAGACAGCTCCCACAAGTGCCCGTGAGAAGCGGCAGTATAGAACAAGGTATTCGCTAAAGAGAGATCATTGTCCAAAAATCTTGGATTTGAGAACTACCTCTTTTGATACATCTTTTAGTAAACAAATAGTATTTTGATTACATGTAGCTTGCTGAATCCTAAGAATTTCAGTTTCTTAGAATTTTATTCCCAGCACCAAGTTATAATGGTTCATGGTGTAGACTGTGTTTTTTCTGAGTGAGTGAATGATTGAATTTTAGATGGTCTACTGAAAGGACGGATTGAGTCCTGCAGATACCTTTTTTATAAGGACAAAGAAGGAAAATTAAATTTTTAAAACCTCAGTGCAATATGGTATATTGTTTTAAAGGAAGATTTATTTGACCTTGTTTTTCAAATATATCCTCGATTAAATACTTGATCACATAGAAGGCTTTACTAATGTGTTTTATTTTAAATTATTTGCAAGGTCTTGTGTTTTTGTATAAATTTGATAAGAAGTGATTTAGAATACACAGTTTAGTGTTTTGTTAACAGTTTGTGTTACTTAGAATTTCCTTTTTTTTAAGAATATACACACTGCTTTATTTTCTTGGAATTGGGTGGGGGGAGTGTTTTGATAATGGAAATAAATTCCCTAAAATATCTGGGCAAGATAATTTAAATATTGGGTTAAAATAGTCACTGTGTCCTTCATGTGATCCAAGGTGCTATTCCATTTCTCAGTAGGTGAAATGATGAATTATCAGTACTATATATGTTATCACATACCTTAACAGGGAATTGTTAAGCAGTTTCCTGGAATAATTTTTAATTTCGGGTTGTAATATAAATGCAGTAGACTCACATTTAAAACATGTATTATAAATCTTTATTTTTTGAAACAACTGAAAGGTTAACATCTTGAATATTTTTCAACAGTGTTGGTTGTTAGAGATGTTTACTTGTATTCCACTCTGTGTTGAGAGTGTTGGGTACCTGTTTCCTAACTTAATTGAAGTGCTCTATTGAATGTATCACAGAATATTAAAGTTCTAAAAAGATAATGCATTGTTTCCAAGACTGATACGACAGAATATGTAAGCAGAATACTTGGTTATAGAAAAATTAGTGTACATTTTAAGAAGTATCCACTTATTCATAGAGGAATGTCGCTATAGTAATCTCTGGATTTGTATTATTTTTTTTAAAGTTGTACATCCCATTGGTATTTTATGCTTTGCTATTCATGCTTCTTATACAGGTACTTATTTAGTTCATTGGGAAAATATAAGGCTATGTGAAAAACCTGACTTTCTTTTCTAAAATAGCAATTCCCTGGAATTCTCATTCATATGTTTAATAAGCTTTCTTTTTTCTTGGGAACATTTTGAGAAGATAATTCACAATTTGTGTTATTAAGACTGTAATTAGCAATAGCAATAGCCTAGATGAAATGGATTTAAAATTTACTTTTAAAAAATAAAATTTGGTGTTTACGTAAATTATCCAGTCATGACTTCCTGTTGCACAACTAAACAAACTATGCATTCCGGTATTTAGCTGCAAACTTAGTATTACTGGCCATATCTTGCTCAAGATTAAAATCTAAAAAGTCATGTGTTCCTAAAATTCTTTGCATTTCCTCCAGTTGCTGAAACACTTTAGGTTCAAATCTAATAAGGGTACTGCTTATAACTCTCATATAGTGACATTACAGTTATATTATTTCTGTAAAATAAGAATTGCATCTTTGAAATCAGTTGGATTGTATGCTGGATTTGAGTGTTTAAAAAAGCTCATGTTCTATTTAATATCAACATTACTATTTATTATATTCATATTCACAGTTGTCTTTCAGATAAATCATCAATTTGTAAGGATTGAATTGAGGTGGTAAGAAAGGGATGACTGGGGATGAAATTGGTGGCGTTATTTTGCTACTTAACATCACAAAGACACTAGTAAACACTTATTTGAGTTTCCTGAAAATCACGGTTATATAAATTCAACCTATTAAGCATATGACAACACATGTTATATCTGTGTTCTTCTGTAATTGAAATAGATTTGGTTTATTTTATGATGTTAATATGTGCTTTGGGTAAATGGTGTCCATCATCTTATTATTGATTTATTTCAAATTGAACAGTTCGCATGACGTCTTTTGAGTATCCTAAAATATGTTTTTAAAAGTACTCTTCTGATTTGACCCATGGACTAGACAGAATTTAGCACATTCTACTTAACATTGATTGCATTGTTGTTCTTAGGGCTACAGAATTATCTTTTTTTCTTTTGATATTATTTGTTAAACTTTAGTTCTGTCTTCTTTGAAGGTGAATGCAGTTTGTTTGCAATTGATTAAGGCTCTACTGCACTTGACTTCCTTCCAGTCTTCTTTTTTTGTTTGTTTTTTAATTTTTAAGAGGGTGTTTTTTCTTTTTTAAATAAAAATTGAGCTGATAAGCAGTTGATTGGTAAGAGCTAATATTCCCAATGGTTTAAATTCCTGGATAGTGATACAATTTCCTGTTAATGTTATAAATAATTTATGAAAGCAGTTTCTGGATACTGTTGTCTACATTGTTGTGTCTAGGATTCATGCTGAGATTATTAGTTTGGGGTTTTTTGTTTGTGTGTTTTGTTTTTCTGTAATTCTGTTTTACTACTCTCTATACTATAAAAGCAATATGTGTTATTTTAAATGCCACCAGATCATTTGAAAAAGCATTTTTATTTAATTTTTTATAACACTGTAATTCACAGTGTTGTTTTTGATTTGGGAATGTTACGTGGAATTTATGTTAAAATTTTATTAGGGGAAAAGAAGAGGGTTGATAAAAGTACAGATTTTGAGATACAGTAGCCGAAAAAATAGCCTTAAAATTTAGGCTACTCAAATGTTATTGTGATAATTGAGAAGAAAGACTTCCAAGAAATTTATCTGGTTATATTTCAATGTTGTATTCCAATGTCACCCTTACATACCTATTGGTTGCATAAAAGTGTTGTATGGTTTTCTGAAACCAAATGATACTTTTTTTGTTCTCAACTGGATATCTTTTAGAGAAAATATGTTTAAAGATTGTTCATGAATTAACACATGCTGTGCCACTTATATTTTATTTGTCTTGTTATTATTATATCTGCTACCCATAATCTAATGATATTCCTCTTTAGAAATACCTAAATAGGCTATTATTTCTCAGTAATTAGTGTACCAACATGGAGGTTGATGTAAAGCTTTATGAAATATCTAAGAAATGTAGTCCCCAAAGAACAATTTCAGCATGACATATTTTATTATCATTCATTTGAAAAGGAAGAAAGAATTTCTTAAATTAGATTTTTTCCATGTGGAAAATGTTACAGAATATTTTTCATGATGGAAAAGAAAATACCTACTTCTAGTAAAAAATGCAGTTTTTTTTTTGTCACTGATTATATTAAATTTCAAATTATCTGAAATGCTATATTTTTAAATAAATTATGTTAGAGTTATGAACATTAAATATATTTAAATAGTTTTACAATACAAAGTCACAATGTGTTAAAATGTTTTAGTAAAATTGGTGCTGAAATATTTTTAATTCTTATAAAGCAAGAAAAAAATACCATAAAATATTCTTTTCAAATTCCAAATGTATTAATTTTCCAGTTTCAAATTCCAAATGTATTAATTTTCCAGTTTATATTTTAAGTCTCTAAAATCGTTGTATTCATTCTTTCTTTGGTTAATTTTAGAACCATACTTGAGACTTCCTCATGTTTGTCATTGTAATTTATCATGTAACGTTACATGTTATACCTTTCTATTATTCATACCATTGTGTTGATTCACATTTTCATGTCTAACTATAAATTTGCTGATTTCTTTCTTTTGTTTCCATCATTATGTGCATTTAATTCATTGAAGAACAAGAAAAATATAACTCTTCCACGAAAGGTAAATATTAATGTAACTTTTTAACCATTTAAAATTGTTCCTTTCTTTCATAATATATGAGAAAGTTTTATAAAAGTATTTATTGAAATGAGCAAAATTATTTAACAGTAGTTTTTTTCCCTGCAATGATTTTGTAGGACATTTGGTATTATTTTGTATTGTGAACAGTTCACATCAAAGAAGAAACTATTAAAATTAAGAATATTTATCTGCACTGACAACTAGAAAACCATTCTTATTTTATATGTTTCTGTTTGTTTGCCCTGCTCTATAGATAATGACTTAATTCATCCTTTCTGTTCAGGGCAGTATATGGTACAAAGGAATAGAAAATCCCTTGATTTTCTCTTAAAGATAGCAGTAATCCTGTTGAATGTTGGGTTCCCACTGCAGTCATGCATCTAGAACAGTGATGGTGAACCTTTTGAGCTCAGCGTGTCAGCATTTTGAAAAACCCTAACTTAACTCTGGTGCCGTGTCACATATAGAAATTTTTTGATATTTGCAACCATAGTAAAACAAAGATTTATATTTTTGATATTTATTTTATATATTTAAATGCCATTTAACAAAGAAAAATCAACCAAAAAAATGAGTTCGCGTGTCACCTCTGACACACGTGTCATAGGTTCGCCATCACTGATCTAGAAGGTAGCTGCCAAAATACTACTCCTCATGTTATCAATATTGTTATAATGCCCATCAATTCTATCTTCCCAAGGGACAGAGAAGGGAAACCATTCGGCCTGCTGTATTGGCACATTGCGACATCCTATCTTACTGTCTTTTGGATCACATTTGATTTTTTGGCTTTGGACTTGAGTTTCAAGTACATGCACACTCATCCCACTCTCATGTGCCACTCACATCATTTTCTATTCAGTGTCATTTTGTCCTCATAGTTAAATATTTGAACATGAGTTTTTGCTTAATGAAATAAGTCTTATAATGCTTAAAATTATATAATGCTTTATAATTTAATAAAATACATTTACTCAATATTTTCAGATTAATGATTGAATCAGTTTGTTGTCCATAGTAACCCTAAAAGTCCTGAGAGTAGCATCATCCCTATTGTGAATGATAAACTCAGGTTAGCGAGATTAAGAGATTGACCC